TTAAGCTTTGAAAAAAATCGTCATTTTGAGGAGAAACCCGTCAAATCGTCATTTGACCGAAAAATCGTCAAAATGACGATAAAATCGTCTTAATGGAAATGCTGTATGTACAAGGTATTTGTGCAGTGATGCCAGAAGTGAGCGTACCCAAACTTTTACCGATAATAACTCATATGAGGGATTTAGGTATTGGGCATTTTGCAAGCCTATTGGAAAGTATCCATATCTGTGTACGTACAGAATAGGAGCTTACGTCGGAAGGATGGCTTTAGTATAATGAACCATTCGCAGCATTCGATTGCGAATGACTCACTGGTGCACAGCTATTGAAGAACTGTTGGCAAATAAACGAGAAAGAAGCAGTTTCGATGCTAGAAAGTCAATATTGTTATTAAGTCTCGTTAAAAAATTCCTTGGAGTGCAATGGGGTATAGTCGTTGCGCTGGGTATGCAGTAACAATTGCATGGCTATACTCAATCCCGACTCTTGCGTCCTCGTTCGCGCACTCTGGCCAATGTGAGCAACCCATGTGCGAGATGCGGTAACCAATCCGAGTGGAGCCTTGGGTCACGGCAGAAAGAGAGGGAGCTTCGGTGGGGCCACTCCGACTTATTTGGTTTAAGGGCTTACTGAAGTCTGCAGCGAGTGTTCACCAGTAGGTGCGGCTGCAAGCGGGTGTCTGCTTGGAGCAAGCGGCTCGCTATATAAACGTGTATTTGGTTGCGAAACCACCCCTGTCCCAGAAATGGGTAGTGCGCTGGGCTTGGGACCCGCCACGTAAAAACCACTTCCAGTGAAGAAGCAAGGCAAAGCCTCGGATGAGACCTCCCCTTATGATGACGACCTCGGCAAACGTTTAAAGGACTAGGATTTAGGGGCATGCACCTGGAATATCCGGACCCTTAATGGGGAATGTGCCTCTGCCGGCTGGTTGATGTCCTCGTAAGGACAAAAGCTGACATCACCGCCATCCAAGAAATGCGTTGAACGGGGCAAGGCAAGCAACGTCTGGGACCTTGAGACATCTACTACAGCTGCCATGTAGAGGAGCGCAAATTCGGAGTTGGATTTGTGGTTGGAGAGAGACTTCGTCGCCGAATACTGTCGTTCACCCCGGTGGACGCGCGTCTAGTCACAATCCGCATCAAAGCGAGATACTTCAACATCTCGCTCATCTGCGCCCATACCCCGACGGAAGAGAAGGATGAGGCATCCAAGGATCTCTTCTATGAGCGCTTGGAACGCACATACGAGCGCTGCCCCCCATCATGATATCAAAATCGTGCTTGGCGACTTCAATGCCAGGGTGGGCAAGGAAGGGATCTTTGGAACCACCGTCGGAAAATTCAGCCTCCACGACGAAACGTCCGTCAACGGATTGAGGCTGTTCGACTTCGCCGGGGCCCGAAACATGGTAGTATGCAGTACTAGGTTCAAGCATAAAAAGATCCATCAAGTTACGTGGCTGTCTCCGGATCGGAAAACGAGAAACCAAATCGATCATGTTGTGATAGACGGTAGGCAAGCTTTCAGTGTTATAGACGTACGCACACTCCGAGGCCCAAACATCGACCTGGGACCACTATCTCGTTGAAGCCAAGATATGCACCCGCCTCTGTGCAGCAAAAAATGTGAGCGGAAATATGCAAGGAAAGCTTAACGTCGAAAAGCCGCAATCACAACAGATAACCAGCGCTTGCGCTACTCGACTCTCACACCTGCTCGCAGAAAGCACTCTTCAAAAAACCGACATATACGAGCAGTGGAACCACATTAAGTACCGCCGCCGAATAAGTAGTCAGATTTCATGGAGGGAACACTTTTCCGCCCTCCTAAATGGTAGCAGCACGGGTGGTTGTGGAGAAGAAGAACCCGAGCCTGCAGTCGATGATGACGGAGTCGACGTTCCACCGCCTGACTATGACGAGGTGCGTATATCAATAATGCGGCTGAAAAACAACAAAGCCGCTGGAGCTGACAGCCTGCTAGCTGAGCTACTCAAGTACGGCGGCGAGGAGTTGATAAGGTGCATGCATTAACTCTTGTGCAGAATATGGTCAGAAAAACGCACGCCCGACGACTGGAAGTTAAGTGTGCTCTGCCTAGTCCGCCATTCGCACCAACTACCGCGGGATCAGCCTTCTAGGCATAGATTACAAGGTCTTATCGAGCGTATTGTGTGAAAGACTGAAGCCCACCGTCAATGAACTGATTGGGCCTTATCAGTGTGGCTTTAGACCTGGCAAATACACCATAGACCAGGTATTCACAATACGTCAAATCTTGGAGAAGACCCGTGAGAAAAGGATCGACACTCACCACCTATTTGTCGATTTTAAAGCCGCTTTTGACAGCACTAAAAGGAGTTGCCTATACGCCGCTATGTCTGAATTTGGCATCCCTTCAAAACTCATACGGCTGTGTAAAATGACGTTGAGCAATACAACCAGCTCCGTCTGAATTGGGAAAGATCTCTCCGAGCCGTTCGCCACAAAACGGGGTTTCAGACAGGGCGACTCCCTTTCATGTGGCTTCTTCTTCATCGGCAACAAAAACATCGAAGTCTGTTCTGCCTTTTCCAAGTTGGATAGGGAAGCAAAGCCAATGGGTATGTTGGTAAACGTGGACAAGACGAAGTATCTCCTGTCATCAATCAAACAGTCAGCACATTCGCGCCTTGGCACCCAGTTACAATTTCGAGAAAGTAGAGAATATCGTTTACTTGGAAACCAGCATTAACACCAATAATAATGTCAGCATTTAAATCCAACGCAGAATCACTCTTGCCAACAAGTGCTACTTTGGACTGAGTAGGCAATTCAGGAGTAACGTCCTCTCTCAACGTACGAAAACCACGCTCTATAAGTCACTCATCATGCCCATGCTGGTATATGGCGCAGAAGCTTGGACATTGACAACATCCGATGAGGCGGCTCTTGGAGTGTTTGAGAGAAAGATTTTGCGGAAGACTTACGGGCCTTTACGCGTTGGCGACGGCGACTACCGCAGACGATGGAGCGATGAGCTGTATGAGCTTTACAACGATATGGACATAGTGCAGCGAATTAAAATACAGCGGCTCCGCTGGCTTGGTCATGTCGTTCGAATGGACACCGACGCTCCAGCTCTGAAAGTATTGAACTCGGAACCCGCTGGTGGTAGCAGAGGAAGAGGGAGGCCCCCACTGCGATGGAAAGATCAGGTGGAGAAGGACTTGGCTTCACTTGGCGTTTCCAATTGGCGTCAGTTGGCACAGACGAGAAACAACTGGCGTGCTTTGCTGAACTCGGCCAAAACCGCTTGGGCGGTTACAGCGCCAAAAAAGAAGAAGAAAAAATGCCTTGTAGTTTAAAGTATATAAGGAATGGTACATTAAACTAAAGCCAGCCTCCCGACATAAGCTACTGTTCATAGGAACACAAATATATTCGTGTACAAAGAATCGTGATTATATTAATTAAGTCCTATGATAAGTTTGTGAATCCTGTCAGTGTTCTATGTAGCAACCAAAAATCGATCTTTTCGCCAATTAGAACTTTTGCTTTAAAAGAAAAATATGCATAGTGCATTTACTTAATACTTGGCCTGGCATCATTGTGTAAGCCTGGATGTGCTTAGCTCACTGTTGCCAACGTCGGGCATTTTGCACTAAATTTAGTGCTTTGTGAAATCAAAAAGCCAAAATAATTGGAATTAAATGTTGGTGCATTATTTAGTGATCCTTTTTTTAATTTATCCACACCGACTGCATAAGTACATATGCATGCATACATTATACAATATTATTCTACATAAAGATGGAATTCATTTGCTGAATAAATGTTAGGAATAGGTACATTAAATATGGTTGTTATAAATTTATTTAAAATAGTTTATTAATAAAAACGAGTTTAAATTCTTTCGTATTTTTACTGAATCAAAAAAATATTAGACGATAATAAAAACTTGGCGTTTTTGTTTTGGAAAAATGGGGTTTCTCTGCCCTGCAAAAATTTGAGGTGGTTCATTGGGTCGTAGTTTTAAAGTATGTGCAAAATGACCTGGTTGCATACTAGTAACTTGGTCCTGAAGTAGTATTTTACCTAGTCCCACTTTTTGCAGGCTTTTTTACTCGAAAATAAGTGTGTAGTGTAGTAATATATACAACTAATTTTTCTCGCCTAGCCCTTTCGCGAGTTCGCACTTCCCGCGACGTCGACTGCGTGCACCTCTGCTATGCATCCCTAGCATACACGAAGAATACGCTGACACGGCAATATGAGCCATATGCGCTAAGCGTAGGTCACTTCACTATCAGCAGATGGACTGCGCTATCGATCATATACATATAACATGCGGGCGTTAAAGCAGTCTATGTGTTAAAAAAGAAGTTAAATTTGACAGTCGAGAAAACGGCCCTAGAATTATTACATATGGCTTACCTCAGCGGTTAACGTTCCTGGCTCTCCACATCGATTATGCGATGTTGAAGTCTAGAGAAAGAAGTCTGATGAGGAGATTTGGTTATCTCCGAAAAATAATATATAACTTCTGCCGCTTAGACTTTGTTTGCTTTTTCCATTTTTCCTAAAAAACTTTGGTGGTATAAAGTTTAAAAACCTTATTCGAATAAATATCATAACGCCACAGTAATAATAACAAACACATCAAATTTGTCGTTCCTGTTTTCTGAATGCCCTTATACTCGTGAGGTTGTTTTGTCACCGCAACATAAGCGTGCTTTCCCGGAGTTTTTGACACTCCAGGCTTTTAAAAATAATATCTAAGGTCTAAAAATTGTAAACCTTTGCGCACATGGTAAAAGCTTATTATGCCTATTACTGCTAAAAGTATGTTAATATGTTAATTCACACATACATATGTATAATGTACAATGTTTATACATATATACATATGTATATGAGTGTTGTACATATGTATTTTTGTATCTACGTACATACTTTAAAATTTATTTTTTATTTATTTTTACAAGAAATAGTTTTTTACAGCAAATATTGATTAATTATAATATAGTATATTCCTTAAAATTTTTAAATGAATTTAAGAGCACAAACAACTATCACGTAAATTAGATTTTATCCATGGTACAAATTTGCTTACTCGTGTGTAAACTCCTGGGTATCCATCCCTTCCACATCCGACACCCCACGAAACTACACCAACAATAAAATACTTAATTCCATTTGAAAGTAAAAGTGGACCACCGCTGTCACCTTGACATGAGTCCATACTCGGTCTACCAGCACATAACATACTAGCTGTGATTCGACTGCTTTTATATTTTTGATTCCGGCATTCGGAAATAGACATAATAGGCACTTTAACTTGATTTACGATTGAAGGCAGGTCCCCTCCTTCTGAAGTACGGCCCCATCCAACAACAGTTCCTATCCGACCTGAAAAATTTGATTTTTAGGTTAATATAAACAATTAAAAATTAAGTCATGAATGATAAATAGATATAAAATTGCACAGAAATATGCTGCTTTAAGCCAAAAATCGTTGATAAACTTTTGTTCCTTAACAAAAATATCGACATATTAGAGCAATTCTGATCTCATTTTCAGTAAAAGTTGTTATGTTTAATTTTTGGACTTTTTTAATCAAAACTATCGATAGTACTATCGATACTGTCGATATTTTCGATAGTATCGATACTATCGATGTTTGGGATTATCGAATATCGAAACCATCTAATCTTTGGTTTCGGTAGGAGTAAACCAAAACTTTACTAAGCTGTAACACATATCCTAGCAGCAAATTTCGAAGAACTCCAATTGAAAAATTCCATTCCATTTGACCCCGCCGTTGCTTGAGGACCACTTCGAAAGTTTATGTGTTTGTCATCATCGTTGTTTTTGATTTTTAAGCGCAGAAAGGGTTATTGAAATTCAAAGTTAATTTTTCCCCTAAATCGATGCACAAAACTCCAATTAATTTGAAAAACGTAAAGTATAAATTAAATATTATGTTACCAGGCTAGTCTGATCTATGTTTTTAGTGCGAATAAAACTACATTATTCCACTTTCTGGCCCAACGTTTCGCTAAAACATTTTTAGCATCTTCAGGGACAATCCAGCTTTATTAAATCTGCCACAAACCAAAAATACAAAGGCTC